CTTCACCTTGGCTGCAAGTTTGGCACGGCGTCGTCGTTCTGGTGGTTGCGAGATGGCCAGGAACATGTAGCGTGGCTTGCAGGGTGGCGAGAGTGACCCTACCCTGTTCCACCACCTCAACTTCCGCCCCCGGCTCCAGGTCCATCACCTTCCTCTTGGCGGGTGATGCCCCCTCACTTGCAGGTGCCCCACTGCCACCAGACATAGTTATCTTTCTCGGTGTCGCTGCCCAAGTCACGAACTCTGAGATGTCAAAGTCCCTGGCAGGCTTCGGGAAGTGCTGAATCCCCCCCTTGCCAAGCACGTCGCGTAGGCCGCCGATGGCCGTCAGGTAGCGGGTCAGGATGTCCCCCGCACGCCTCAGCGGTGGTAGTCGGAGAGTTCGGCTAGCGCCGGTCACCTCGTGCTCCGTCCCCCCCGATCTCAAAGTCCCGGGCCTTCGCGGTGCCCTCGCGTAGTGCGACAAACAGGTAGGTGGGCTCGTATGGCGGGCACGGGCGCTGGGGGCAGAGAAATTTCAACTCTCAGGCCTCCCCCCCCCCTTCTCTCCGGCTCTCTTTCAAGTTGTCCCCCGGACACTGGGCTGGGGCTCGAGCCGCTTGAGCCAAAATGGCTTGAGCCAAAATGGTCTCTTTCTCTCTTTCTTTCTTGGGGGCATGGGGGCAAGCCCCCGGGCGTTCTCGCCCGCCCCGGTATTCGGGGGGCCTCTGGTCTGGTTGTTCGGAAGTGAGTGAGCACGGGGCCCTTGTGTAACCCAAAATGGTCTCTCTCTCTCTCTCTCTCTCCCCCACGCATGACCCCCCCGAAGGGAGGCCGCCCCCAGGGGCGCGTGCTGGTCTCGGGTCAGTTGGTGAAGAACGTCCATCTCGTGTTTCGTGTTGAGAGGGCGTCCGGCTCGTTGGCCAAAACACAGGAGTCAGGGGTTCAGTAAGAAACTGCTACTGTTCGACTTCCCCCCTCTGTACCTCCTGGTTTCCTCGATGGGTTTGGGGTTCAGACCCTTCTATCCAACCAACCCTTCGGGGCCGGAGAGTCTCCCTCTCTCTCTCTCTCTCTCTCTCTCTCTCTCTCTCTCCCTCCCCCCGAAGGGGAGCTACCCCGAAGGGTGAAAATGGTTTGGAGCGGGCAACTGGTTGAATGTTTCCCCCACCCGCTCAAGTGCCTCCTGTCTATGACCTGTGCCCGTACGAGTTGTTGCCCCTTCTGCATCATCCGGCTTCAATGCTTTCGGACCCCGCTGGAGTCTCTCTTCCTTCCTTCCTTCCTCCGCACTCAACCCCCCCGAGGGGAGGTCGCCCTCTCGGGCGTGCTCCAGTGGGTCAGTCTCTCTCTCTGTCTCTCTCTCTCTCTCTCTCTCTCTCCTCTTCCTGTTGAAGCCACGCGGCTGGAACTTCTTCCCAATGGGGACGCGAAGCTTGCCATTGGCGTCGCGGGTCACGCCGCCGCGGCCCTCAGCAAAAACAAGATGGACTGCTGCCAAGTCATTGCAGGTTTTTCCTAGGCTGGCCCTTCAAACCCTCTAAAAAGTATTCCCGAATATGATCCTGAAGATGGGAAAACAACAAGCATCCCAAAGGCCTACCTAGTTTCCTCCAAGCAAAAGGGGGATACATGTTTATGTTCTGTGTCACTCTAGTATTAATTGAGTATTCTTATATTCTGATACCAATATTTGATTCTATTGAAGCGACCCCTCTGCCATGGGGTGGAGGCCTCGGCCATGGCGCGGCCGACAGCCACGGCAGGGGGTCCAACCTGGATGTGGCTGCTTCGGGGCCTTTGCGTTTCGGGGGGGGGGGGGGGGTGGGTTGGGCGGGGGCAGTTCTGAAATCGGATGCCTAAGGCAGCAAAGGGAAGTGGCAGAGCAAAGGATTCCAGAAAGAGAGTCACGCAATGTCACGTAGGACATGTCACGTAGGACGTGGGGGCCCCGGAAGTGGTAAGAGGCGCCGGCCTTCGGAGCGTCCGAGCCGGTAAGGACGGAGCTGGCAGCCTCGCGCAGCTCAGGGCTCGAGGGCTCGAGGGGGAAGAGAGGGAATACCGGGTAGTCCAGGAAGAAGGGGTTGCAAGGTCTTTTGTTTAGGGGTGCTGGGACTATTTTATCTTAAGTTTTGGAAGCTTGAGACGTTGTGGGACCATGGCCTTGGCGTAGCCTCGGGCAGGGCCCACGGAGCTTGTGGCCACCGTTCCCGGCTGTGAGGCCGGGGCCGGCTTACCACTGACGATGTTCAGCACCTCAGAGGCTTTCTGACTTTCCTGCCGCAACCTTTGTGAAATCAGTAAGCTGGCCTTTCAGATACCCTCCTTAGTCTCTCTCTGCCTGAGGCCTTGGCGGTGCGTGGCGCAGCCTGGCTTGGAGCCGCAGCGGCCGAACCGCCAGCGCCGCTCATGTACTTCATGGATGTGGCACCCCCGGCACCGCCGGCGCCACCCATGGCCTTGGCCTGGAAGTGCATTTGTGCATGTCAGACCCAGATGCAGTGCAGAATCTCGTAATCTCGCAATCTCGCAATCTCGCATACAAGCACATGACGGGTCAGCCTAACCGTGAGGTCCTGCCTTGGCCTTGGGCGCCGCAGCCTCAGCCTTGGCACCGACACCTGGCGGACGTCGAAGCATTCGGTGCGACAGCGGACGCGTGATGAGCTTTGATGACTCTTTTGATGATTCTTGTGATCATTCCTTGCATGACTTTTGCACATTTCACACCTAAAGCCCGTTCACGCGATTGCTTGGGCTACCAGGATCCAATCCAGGCATCCGCATCCCCACCCTTGGAGCCCTGGGCATGCGCCGCAGTCTACGCTCTGAGTCCTCAACCCTGAACCCCAAGTATCTGCCAGACCAGCAATATGTTGTTCTATATAATAACATATTAAAACAACTTTCTGCTGTTACCTTCCGATATTGGTATATTGATATAATACACAATTAGGTTACGAATTTACTCATAAAATCTGAATATTCTACATATGTATACATGAGCGTGCTCATATATATATATATATAAGCCGTGTTTATATTCGTATATTCGTATGGTACTATTCTGCGTTATGTTGATATTGGCATATTAGTATGTTGTCACATGATTATGCCGTCATACGTTTCATCTTGTTTAGTATTCCGATGTTACATTCTTATATGGTTCTTCTACTATTAGATTTTCTTGGTTTGTCATTATGTTGCTAAATCAGTGTCTTTCATATATTGTGATATTAAACTGAAGTGTGTATTCTTGTAGTGTGACTGTTCTATGCTGTTGCATAAAAAATGCAATTATTATGTTTTATATAGATATATGCATCTACTCCTGTTTTGGCATATTACATGTTGTATTTGCGTATTGTGGTATTGTGACAGTTTGATTTGTACATGTTTGTGTCTTATCGTTTTATTCCATTCCACTATATATTTGGTGGCATTCTTACAGTATTGTGCCATTAGAGAATTCTCTTCTTTCAATATGGTAACACTTTAGTAAGCTTATATCACTCTATCACTCTAACTCAATTAAGAATATTTCAGCGGCCTCGGTTCAGAGCAGATCCGGTTGCTCCCATGCGTTCGGCAGCGGACATGGGCTTCTTTCCCTCCTCGTGTAGAGCTTTGTGCCTTATGTACTAGGAGTAAGGTTGACAAAGCTTAATTGCCTGACGACGTGCATTGTTCGACTAGCACTCAAGATGATTCTCGAAAGCAAGCTGTTTGCAAGCCCTGCTGACTAGTAGCCAACAACCACCAGCGCCAACCCCAATTGCTGAGCAGCTCTTGTATTGCTATATGGGTAGTTGTCAAAATTATGGCCTTTTTGGGGGTCCTAATGTCATACGGACCTCATATTTAGGGTGTCCAAAAAGGGACCCTAATTTTGACAACCACCCATATATTGCATGCATCTCCTGGATGATTGCCGCCGCGGAGTGCGGCGGGGCGGAAGGGGCCGATGCCTGGCAACGACATGGCCGCCTTTCAGAAACGATCCTTCTCCCTTGCTGCTAGATGTCGCGGCTGCCTCAGCTAGGAGTACATCGCCAAGAACTCCGGAATACTAGACATCTTGGAAGTTGCAAGTGAGCCTGTGAAGAGACTTTCCGGGTTTCAGATTTCCAGTGTCAGAGCTCGTAGCTGGAAACCCTTCAAAAAAACTTCAATGATCTTCAAGGCCTAGCAGGGAGAGGGTTCTGAGCATTTTCGTCTCGTCTCGTGGCACTATGGCAATACAGTAAGAGCTGTGGTTTAGGTCGACACGGTGCACGTGGGCGGGGCAGGGTGGGGCCCTGTTGGATAGGCAACCCATGGCCTTGGCACCGGCGCCACCGGGGGAACCAGCGGCAGAACCACCGGCGGAACCACCGGCGGAACCACCAGCGGAACCACCACCAGAACCTGGTACGGCCATGGCCTGTGACAGAGCGGGAAGAAGAGGGTTTAGGGGGTTGGTTGTGAACTACTTGTTTGGCGTAGGGTAGGCACTTTGGTGCGACTCGCGGCCTTCTTGGCTACAGCGACTGGGCGGGGAGCTGCCTTGGCGACCTGGCAGGCACTGGCACCGTCACTCGCACAGAGGGGACGTCACTTTCCGCTGCGGCTGCCCTACCAGCACCCCTGTTGCCCCGGCCTCGGGAGTAGATCCAGACATGGCCTGGGTCAGGGAAAAGCACAAGAAGTGGGAGGGGTCAGAGCATGGCAGTGCTGACCGCGCCTCAGAAGTGCGTAGATGAAAGCAAAGGGATGCGCTGCAGTGGCACAAAATGCTGCGGATCGATGGATATAGCACCAGCTCGACAAGTAGGGCGAAGCATTATGCAACCATGCAAAGGAAGCACAACACTACCCATCACAACATTGGTACTTACCACGGTTACACAGCATCCCAAAAACTTCATGGGGAGATGTGCCTCAAAAGCCAGAATCTACACCCGGGCCTCTTGTCAGGGAACTTTCGTACCAGAGCAGACGTATATTGAGAAAAGGACTCCCAGCAACAACCCCTCAAGTGCCTGCATGGCAACTTGAAGAGCAGCCTGTGGGTGTCGGGGGTTGAGGCTTGCGGCTGTTGAGGCTTCTTGAGATGAAGGCTTGAATTTTGCTTTGGATTGAGCTGTCCGGTTGCTCTTACTCAGCTTCCCGTCGCCTTATTCCTGCCTCCTTGTGCCCAACATGGAACTAGCGCGATCAACAGCTGTTGCTTCGGTTTCCACATAAAGCAGTCTAGGGCTTCGGTTTGAAGCTCAGGCACCACCCACTGAGCCTTTGCACCTCGGCCCCGCCTGGGCATCAAAGTTCTCGGCAACCTTTGCCAGGTGCTGTGCGGCGGCCACATCGGAGGTGGGCTTGCGACAGTGGGGGCACTCCGGCCTCAGCATGCTCTGTGGCGGTCGCCAAAGCAAGCACTGACTAAGACACAACTGTGCGTCACAGCATCTCAAGAGGATCGCAGAATTATACATCTGGGACCGAATTTCGATGATTTGAGGGGCTGGAGGGGATGAAAATGTCTGGGTGGCGAGCTTCGGCAGCTTCACCAAACAGCCGATGCAAACGCTGTGATAGCACTGGTCGCCTGACGACGGGGCTGAGAAAAGCCGAGCGAACTGCGCGGCACACCAAAGGGCGATCCATTCTAAGACACTAAACGTTCATTGTGTTTATTGTTGTTATTGATGTTACAACTGCGATTCTTGCTAATTACTGTGGTCCGTGGTTGCTATACTTGCTATACTTGTACTTGCTATCAGCTATCACCACGATTTTTGACTGCTGTTGTCAACGCTGTTCAAGGTGCACCCAGCATCCACCATCCTTTGCAGAGAACACTTGGGAAACGGCACAATGCACAATAACAAATGCAAGTTCGCTTCCGCCCCCTCCCGCCAGAGCCATCCAAGACCCGCGCAGAAAAAACCGAAGTGTCCCGAACTATGGTAGCCTGGGCCAGTGCACATGAGGCTGCGCCAGTTCGTGACAACAATGAATACAGGCTACTGCCACACTCTGCTACGCATCTTGCGTCGAATGGATGGCATCTTCTGCCTCTGAAGGCTTAGAGACATGAGTAATCTGAATCTGAAAGCTGTGCAGTTGGTGTTGAGCGGCGGGGTCCATTGTACCTGCTAGGTCTAGGTACTGTCCCTGTTGAAAAGTTCACTTGCCCGAGTCCACCACAAACGACGCAGTTCCGCATCCTGGACCCAGGGGGATAAATATCGGTTCAAGCTTTGACTCACAATCTGCTGACCCTGCGAGCCAAGTCCTTTGTGCCTGCCACCTTGTGTACCTGGACCCTTGGTTGCAGTTCCTAATTGTGCGATGCGAACAACCACAACATGTTTAGGTACCCAAAACAGGGGAGTGCAGAGACCACTGCATTCCTGTGGCGCCTGTCGTCCTTCAGGTCCAGTTGGATCTGCGGCTGCAGGTCGATGCCAATCTGTCACGCCAGATTCGAAGGGCTCGGCTTTGCCAGGTGTTTTGTGGTTTTAGGTTCAAGAGGTTTCCAGGGCTGAGCGTTTGTGAGTGGGGACCTTGAGGGCTGGGGGCACATACCCAGGCTACCGAAAGATGACTGAAGGCTGCATGCTGCATGCTGCATGCTCCCTTCAGATGCGCATCCTTTTTGGGGTCCACAAATCCATCCTCCCTCCGTGCCAAGTGATAGAACGTTTCTCTACTGTTGCTCTGCCACTCTATACAGGCGTGTAGCGCTGGAGCAGTCACACACTTGCTGTTCGGAAGGCTACTGCAGGCCGCTAGGCCATGAGATGGTTGGGAATGCGCCTTGGCAAGGCAGGGGGCATTTGCGGCTGCCAAGCGCGCCAGTACCAAAATTTGCAGGTTGATGTACAGCAATTAGACCTGAAACTCTGCTTGCGGCATGCCACGGAAGCAAGACCGCCTCGACATCTTTACACGTTTCGAGCTGTACAGCTCTCTCTCGAATTGATGAAGCCACGCTGAATTCCTCACTTTGACGCATGCCGGCATGCATCCCTGTATGGCAGGTTACGCAACTCCGAGAGGGTATCACGAAGTTGCCGGTCACCAAGAAAAATGAGCGGGCCTCTCATGGTAAAATGGGTGCCGTTTGGCTCTCCACTGGTGCTGAGTTCATCGAGCTGTAACTCACCGAGCAGCCCCCACAGTGGCCGCTAATGCATACTGCGCACTCAAAGCTCGCAACAGATCTCCTGCAAGACTCAAAGCAGTGCTGGTTGCCGCAGCTCGAGCATCCGCCGTAGCAGGAGTTGATGGAACACCGCGCATAGCAGCCGGAGGGATCTGGATGGCTATAGCAGGGGCTGCCACAACCATGCAGTAGGGAACCTCCTGTAGCACAGGTTCCTGCCTGCCTTGCCAGGAAGCTCACAGGTCCATCTGCCTCCTCGCCTGTAGCACCAAGGAAGAGCTTGGTGAAGTCCGGTCCAGCATCCTCCAGCGAATGGGAGTCGAAGTTGAGCGCCTTGCTGCAGGCGGAGCACTTCGAGTCCAGGCACGCCAAGCAGAAGTCCGAGGAGTTGCCTGAACTGCACTCCTTTGCACAGAATCGTCGGCCGCAGTCGACTTGTGTGCCCAGGCAGGAGGCACAGGTAGATGGCACCTTCAAGCCGAGCAGGCAATCGGACACACACGCGGCCTTGGAGTCCTTCTCTGAACATTGCTGTGCGCACGTGTGCAAGTTGTTCTTGTTGTCGGAGAGGCAGCTGCCATTTGCCATGGCCAGCGACACGACGACCAGGAGACGGCCGAGCATTGTGGTGCTGGTGGGAAGCTAACGGTTCACCGCTATGCGAGCCTGATACAGCTGCGGCTCCACGCACTGGGGCCCATCCTGCTAAGAAGCATGCCAGCATGAGCAGTCTGCCGTCTACCCACATGCCCAGGCTACCGAAAGATGACTGAAGGCTGCATGCTGCATGCTGCATGCTCCCTTCGGATGCGCATCCTTTTGGGGTCCACAAATCCATCCTCCCTCCGTGCCAAGTGATAGAATGTTTCTCTACTGTTGCTCTGCCACTCTATACAGGCGTGTAGCGCTGGAGCAGTCACACACTTGCTGTTCGGAAGGCTACTGCAGGCCGCTAGGCCATGAGATGGTTGGGAATGCGCCTTGGCAAGGCAGGGGGCATTTGCGGCTGCCAAGCGCGCCAGTACCAAAATTTGCAGGTTGATGTACAGCAATTAAACCTGAAACTCTGCTTGCGGCATGCCACGGAAGCAAGACCGCCTCGACATCTTTACACGTTTCGAGCTGTACAGCTCTCTCTCGAATTGATGAAGCCACGCTGAATTCCTCACTTTGACGCATGCCGGCATGCATCCCTGTATGGCAGGTTACGCAACTCCGAGAGGGTATCACGAAGTTGCCGGTCACCAAGAAAAATGAGCGGGCCTCTCATGGTAAAATGGGTGCCGTTTGGCTCTCCACTGGTGCTGAGTTCATCGAGCTGTAACTCACCGAGCAGCCCCCACAGTGGCCGCTAATGCATACTGCGCACTCAAAGCTCGCAACAGATCTCCTGCAAGACTCAAAGCAGTGCTGGTTGCCGCAGCTCGAGCATCCGCCGTAGCAGGAGTTGATGGAACACCGCGCATAGCAGCCGGAGGGATCTGGATGGCTATAGCAGGGGCTGCCACAACCATGCAGTAGGGAACCTCCTGTAGCACAGGTTCCTGCCTGCCTTGCCAGGAAGCTCACAGGTCCATCTGCCTCCTCGCCTGTAGCACCAAGGAAGAGCTTGGTGAAGTCCGGTCCAGCATCCTCCAGCGAATGGGAGTCGAAGTTGAGCGCCTTGCTGCAGGCGGAGCACTTCGAGTCCAGGCACGCCAAGCAGAAGTCCGAGGAGTTGCCTGAACTGCACTCCTTTGCACAGAATCGTCGGCCGCAGTCGACTTGTGTGCCCAGGCAGGAGGCACAGGTAGATGGCACCTTCAAGCCGAGCAGGCAATCGGACACACACGCGGCCTTGGAGTCCTTCTCTGAACATTGCTGTGCGCACGTGTGCAAGTTGTTCTTGTTGTCGGAGAGGCAGCTGCCATTTGCCATGGCCAGCGACACGACGACCAGGAGACGGCCGAGCATTGTGGTGCTGGTGGGAAGCTAACGGTTCACCGCTATGCGAGCCTGATACAGCTGCGGCTCCACGCACTGGGGCCCATCCTGCTAAGAAGCATGCCAGCAGAGCAGTCTGCCGTCTACCCACATGCCCAGGCTACCGAAAGATGACTGAAGGCTGCATGCTGCATGCTGCATGCTCCCTTCGGATGCGCATCCTTTTGGGGTCCACAAATCCATCCTCCCTCCGTGCCAAGTGATAGAACGTTTCTCTACTGTTGCTCTGCCACTCTATACAGGCGTGTAGCGCTGGAGCAGTCACACACTTGCTGTTCGGAAGGCTACTGCAGGCCGCTAGGCCATGAGATGGTTGGGAATGCGCCTTGGCAAGGCAGGGGGCATCTGCGGCTGCCAAGCGCGCCAGTACCAAAATTTGCAGGTTGATGTACAGCAATTAGACCTGAAACTCTGCTTGCAGCATGCTACGCAAGCAAGACCGCCTCGACATCTTTACACGTGACACTGAGCTGTACAGCTCTCTCTCGAATTGATGAAGCCACGCTGAATTCCTCACTTTGACGCATGCCGGCATGCATCCCTGTATGGCAGGTTACGCAACTCCGAGAGGGTATCACGAAGTTGCCGGTCACCAAGAAAAATGAGCGGGCCTCTCATGGTAAAATGGGTGCCGTTTGGCTCTCCACTGGTGCTGAGTTCATCGAGCTGTAACTCACCGAGCAGCCCCCACAGTGGCCGCTAATGCATACTGCGCACTCAAAGCTCGCAACAGATCTCCTGCAAGACTCAAAGCAGTGCTGGTTGCCGCAGCTCGAGCATCCTCCGTAGCAGGAGTTGATGGAACACCGCGCATAGCAGCCGGAGGGATCTGGATGGCTATAGCAGGGGCTGCCACAACCATGCAGCAGGGAACCTCCTGTAGCACAGGTTCCTGCCTGCCTTGCCAGGAAGCTCACAGGTCCATCTGCCTCCTCGCCTGTAGCACCAAGGAAGAGCTTGGTGAAGTCCGGTCCAGCATCCTCCAGCGAATGGGAGTCGAAGTTGAGCGCCTTGCTGCAGGCGGAACACTTCGAGTCCAGGCACGCCAAGCAGAAGTCCGAGGAGTTGCCTGAACTGCACTCCTTTGCACAGAATCGTCGGCCGCAGTCGACTTGTGTGCCCAGGCAGGAGGCACAGGTAGATGGCACCTTCAAGCCGAGCAGGCAATCGGACACACACGCGGCCTTGGAGTCCTTCTCTGAACATTGCTGTGCGCACGTGTGCAAGTTGTTCTTGTTGTCGGAGAGGCAGCTGCCATTTGCCATGGCCAGCGACACGACGACCAGGAGACGGCCGAGCATTGTGGTGCTGGTGGGAAGCTAACGGTTCACCGCTATGCGAGCCTGATACAGCTGCGGCTCCACGCACTGGGGCCCATCCTGCTAAGAAGCATGCCAGTATGAGCAGTCTGCCGTCTACCCACATGCCCAGGCTCCCTTCGGATGCGCATCCTTTTGGGGTCCACAAATCCATCCGCCCTCCGTGCCAAGTGATAGAACGTTTCTCTACTGTTGCTCTGCCACTCTGTACAGGCGTGTAGCGCTGGAGCAGTCACACACTTGCTGTTCGGAAGGCTACTGCAGGCCGCTAGGCAGTGAGATGGTTGGGAATGCGCCTTGGCAAGGCAGGGGGCGCCAGTACCAAAATTTGCAGGTTGATGTACAGCAATTAGACCTGAAACTCTGCTTGCGGCATGCCACGGAAGCAAGACCGCCTCGACATCTTTACACGTTTCGAGCTGTACAGCTCTCTCTCTCTCTCAAATTGATGAAGCCACGCTGAATTCCTCGCTTTGACGCATGCCGGCATGCATCCCTGTATGGCAGGTTACGCAACTCCGAGAGGGTATCACGAAGTTGCCGGTCACCAAGAAAAATGAGCGGGCCTCATGGTAAAATGGGTGCCGTTTGGCTCTCCACTGGTGCTGAGTTCATCGAGCTGTAACTCACCGAGCAGCCCCCACAGTGGCCGCTAATGCATACTGCGCACTCAAAGCTCGCAACAGATCTCCTGCAAGACTCAAAGCAGTGCTGGTTGCCGCAGCTCGAGCATCCTCCGTAGCAGGAGTTGATGGAACACCGCGCATAGCAGCCGGAGGGATCTGGATGGCTATAGCAGGGGCTGCCACAACCATGCAGTAGGGAACCTCCTGTAGCACAGGTTCCTGCCTGCCTTGCCAGGAAGCTCACAGGTCCATCTGCCTCCTCGCCTGTAGCACCAAGGAAGAGCTTGGTGAAGTCCGGTCCAGCATCCTCCAGCGAATGGGAGTCGAAGTTGAGCGCCTTGCTGCAGGCGGAACACTTCGAGTCCAGGCACGCCAAGCAGAAGTCCGAGGAGTTGCCTGAACTGCACTCCTTTGCACAGAATCGTCGGCCGCAGTCGACTTGTGTGCCCAGGCAGGAGGCACAGGTAGATGGCACCTTCAAGCCGAGCAGGCAGTCGGACACACACGCGGCCTTGGAGTCCTTCTCTGAACATTGCTGTGCGCATGTGTGCAAGTTGTTCTTGTTGTCGGAGAGGCAGCTGCCATTTGCCATGGCCAGCGACACGACGACCAGGAGACGGCCGAGCATTGTGGTGCTGGTGGGAAGCTAACGGTTCACCGCGATTCGAGCCTTGATACAGTTGCGGCTCGAGCAGTCTGCCGTCTACCCGCATGCCCAGGCTACCGAAAGATGACTGAAGGCTGCATGCTGCATGCTGCATGCTCCCTTCGGATGCGCATCCTTTTGGGGTCCACAAATCCATCCGCCCTCCGTGCCAAGTGATAGAACGTTTCTCTACTGTTGCTCTGCCACTCTGTACAGGCGTGTAGCGCTGGAGCAGTCACACACTTGCTGTTCGGAAGGCTACTGCAGGCCGCTAGGCAGTGAGATGGTTGGGAATGCGCCTTGGCAAGGCAGGGGGCATCTGCGGCTGCCAAGCGCGCCAGTACCAAAATTTGCAGGTTGATGTACAGCAATTAGACCTGAAACTCTGCTTGCGGCATGCCACGGAAGCAAGACCGCCTCGACATCTTTACACGTTTCGAGCTGTACAGCTCTCTCTCGAATTGATGAAGCCACGCTGAATTCCTCACTTTGACGCATGCCGGCATGCATCCCTGTATGGCAGGTTACGCAACTCCGAGAGGGTATCACGAAGTTGCCGGTCACCAAGAAAAATGAGCGGGCCTCTCATGGTAAAATGGGTGCCGTTTGGCTCTCCACTGGTGCTGAGTTCATCGAGCTGTAACTCACCGAGCAGCCCCCACAGTGGCCGCTAATGCATACTGCGCACTCAAAGCTCGCAACAGATCTCCTGCAAGACTCAAAGCAGTGCTGGTTGCCGCAGCTCGAGCATCCGCCGTAGCAGGAGTTGATGGAACACCGCGCATAGCAGCCGGAGGGATCTGGATGGCTATAGCAGGGGCTGCCACAACCATGCAGCAGGGAACCTCCTGTAGCACAGGTTCCTGCCTGCCTTGCCAGGAAGCTCACAGGTCCATCTGCCTCCTCGCCTGTAGCACCAAGGAAGAGCTTGGTGAAGTCCGGTCCAGCATCCTCCAGCGAATGGGAGTCGAAGTTGAGCGCCTTGCTGCAGGCGGAACACTTCGAGTCCAGGCACGCCAAGCAGAAGTCCGAGGAGTTGCCTGAACTGCACTCCTTTGCACAGAATCGTCGGCCGCAGTCGACTTGTGTGCCCAGGCAGGAGGCACAGGTAGATGGCACCTTCAAGCCGAGCAGGCAATCGGACACACACGCGGCCTTGGAGTCCTTCTCTGAACATTGCTGTGCGCACGTGTGCAAGTTGTTCTTGTTGTCGGAGAGGCAGCTGCCATTTGCCATGGCCAGCGACACGACGACCAGGAGACGGCCGAGCATTGTGGTGCTGGTGGGAAGCTAACAGTTCACCGCGATTCGAGCCTTGATACAGTTGCGGCTCGAGCAGTCTGCCGTCTACCCACATGCCCAGGCTACCGAAAGATGACTGAAGGCTGCATGCTGCATGCTGCATGCTCCCTTCGGATGCGCATCCTTTTGGGGTCCACAAATCCATCCGCCCTCCGTGCCAAGTGATAGAACGTTTCTCTACTGTTGCTCTGCCACTCTGTACAGGCGTGTAGCGCTGGAGCAGTCACACACTTGCTGTTCGGAAGGCTACTGCAGGCCGCTAGGCAGTGAGATGGTTGGGAATGCGCCTTGGCAAGGCAGGGGGCATCTGCGGCTGCCAAGCGCGCCAGTACCAAAATTTGCAGGTTGATGTACAGCAATTAGACCTGAAACTCTGCTTGCGGCATGCCACGGAAGCAAGACCGCCTCGACATCTTTACACGTTTCGAGCTGTACAGCTCTCTCTCGAATTGATGAAGCCACGCTGAATTCCTCACTTTGACGCATGCCGGCATGCATCCCTGTATGGCAGGTTACGCAACTCCGAGAGGGTATCACGAAGTTGCCGGTCACCAAGAAAAATGAGCGGGCCTCTCATGGTAAAATGGGTGCCGTTTGGCTCTCCACTGGTGCTGAGTTCATCGAGCTGTAACTCACCGAGCAGCCCCCACAGTGGCCGCTAATGCATACTGCGCACTCAAAGCTCGCAACAGATCTCCTGCAAGACTCAAAGCAGTGCTGGTTGCCGCAGCTCGAGCATCCGCCGTAGCAGGAGTTGATGGAACACCGCGCATAGCAGCCGGAGGGATCTGGATGGCTATAGCAGGGGCTGCCACAACCATGCAGCAGGGAACCTCCTGTAGCACAGGTTCCTGCCTGCCTTGCCAGGAAGCTCACAGGTCCATCTGCCTCCTCGCCTGTAGCACCAAGGAAGAGCTTGGTGAAGTCCGGTCCAGCATCCTCCAGCGAATGGGAGTCGAAGTTGAGCGCCTTGCTGCAGGCGGAGCACTTCGAGTCCAGGCACGCCAAGCAGAAGTCCGAGGAGTTGCCTGAACTGCACTCCTTTGCACAGAATCGTCGGCCGCAGTCGACTTGTGTGCCCAGGCAGGAGGCACAGGTAGATGGCACCTTCAAGCCGAGCAGGCAATCGGACACACACGCGGCCTTGGAGTCCTTCTCTGAACATTGCTGTGCGCACGTGTGCAAGTTGTTCTTGTTGTCGGAGAGGCAGCTGCCATTTGCCATGGCCAGCGACACGACGACCAGGAGACGGCCGAGCATTGTGGTGCTGGTGGGAAGCTAACGGTTCACCGCGATTCGAGCCTTGATACAGCTGTGGGGTTCAGCCACTGACGAGATGGTCAGCACCAGGCAGAAGCTGGGCCCCAAAAGAAAAACACGCCGGTCAGGCCTGGATTTTCTCCACCGCCTGCACCATCTCCTGATCTGCAGTGGTGCTCAGTTGAGGCCGGCAACGGAATGGGGGGCAGATCCCAGCAGTCTCTATAGGAAAGGCCATCTCCTGCCACCATCGTTTTACCTAACAACGAGCCCATTCTTCTTCATGAACACCCTAAACCCTAAACCCTAATCCCTAGACCGCTCTCCTGAGCCTTTCTCTGGAACTCCCTGGTGATGGCGGCAAATCCATCCTCATTTCTAGAGTCCGGCTGCCCCCATCGTGGCATAAGTGGCATGTGCCCTGCACTTCGTCTCACTCACATTCCTTTCGGCCTCAAAGTCAGCCCACTGGAGCAGAGGATCGGCGACCTCCTCCTACGCAGCAGCCGTTGCGGAGCTCAGGGGATGAGGGTAACCCTGCTGGGTCTGCTTCTGTCTACCTGTGCGGCTCTCTGAGGTTCTAAACCCTGAACCTTATGTTGCAGCAAATCCTGAAACCCTAAACCCTAAAACACCAACCAGTACCCTAAATCTCCTCGCGGTCGTCGACAGCTTCCAGCTGCGGGGCCCTGAACCAAGGATGCCTCCGCCCCAAGCAGCGCAACGTAGGACTCCACAGCACGGCACACCATTCTCACAGCCGCGCCCGGCCAAATATCGCAAAGACAAACAGACGGCTAGAAAAAATGTCTATATTAAATAACAATTAAGAATATACTTACAATGAATGTTGTTCTTGTTTATAACCCTAAGAAGAGAGATCTACTACGTGCATATGTATAGAAACCGGGGCCAAAGCTTCAGGGCATCCTCAGCCTCGGGTCGCAAGGTCCTGGCACATGCCCGAGGGGACTCGATGAAGGAGCTGTTGGGTTTAGGATTTAGGATTTGGGGTTTGGGGTTTAGGGTTTAGGGTTTGGGGTTTGGGGTTTGGGGTTTAGGGTTTAGGGTTCATTTGCTTGGAGTTGCTGGTGGTGACTGTGTGCGGGCCCTCCTTGCATGATCCGCCAAGCCAAACATTCTGGGGAAGATCGCTACAAAGCATGGGCTGCAAGTTAGTGGTGGCGGCCACCATGGTTACAAGAGTTGGAATTTAGGGTGGTCAGTGGCGGAGGAGACCGCGCAGCAATGCGGTGAAACGGCTGGTAAGTGCAAATTCCCGGCCCTAATAAAACCCGAAACCTTGAACCCTGGACCCTGAAACCGTGAACTCTGGAAGCTCTCCAAGCCTTTTGGGCCGCAAGAGACGCCGAACCAGGTCGCGCGCCACCGGCGATGGCCTGCCCGTCTGGCAGGTAAGAGTTCAGGTTGGAATTGAGATTAACGAAGGAAAGCACGTGTTGGGAAATCCAAGGTTTCTGAGCAAGGGGCGAAAGTGAAATGAGCGTTCTGGCACTGCCAGTAAAGGATAGAGGTTACAGCGGGGTGTGTTTCGTCATATGCTGCCCGTCTACCTTGCAGGATGAGACTGACTGGTTTTACATCCCTCCTGAGCATTGACAGCCGCGACTCGATCGCGGTCTTTTGTGTAATTCCAGTCGTAAACAAACCTCCCCCACAGGTACAATCGAGACAAAACATTCTCGATGGAGCAGTTGAAGAGTAGTGGAGCTGGATGGAGCTGAATGGTGCTTTTTATGGCCAGTGAACAACCTGTACAGGGTCTCACAAACAAAAACTAAAAAATCCGCCGAGGCCTCGGGCCGAAGGTGTTTAGGTTGTGAGAACAGGCGCAGCCCCCAAATCCTACCCCCCCCCCCCCCCCCGAACCTGCCTCCCCAAAACCCCCCCCCCCCCCCCGCAACGTCGGCCCCTCTGCGGGAGCTGCATTGAGGCCGAGGCGGGTCGCGTAGCGTTAGAATTAATAACAACAGCATAACAGCAACAGATGAAGTAGTTAAGTAGTTTGCGCTCCAACCCGGCCGTTCCGACTCTGGAAAGAAGGAAACTTCCGAAGCTTTTTGCATCCATGAGAATCTAAGCGCCGTTCATGGTCTATGAAATGTGCCGGGCGGTGGACTGCAGAACAACTGGCAAGCTCTGCACCCCCCGAAACGCCCGCAGGATCCCTTTAGGGCTCTGAGGGTCGCTTCAAGCCCGTGTCGACCGGCCCTCATCTACACAAGGTCGCCAGTCAAACTCAGTCTGACATGCGAGAGCTCTCTCTTTCTTTGGCAGTTCCGACCTGTTAAGGAGGGCAAACCCTGACCCAGAGCCAGGAAACAAGAAGCATCACATGTGGCTTCGTAAAGTATTGCTCTTACAGGAAACTGCTTTGGTCTTCGTTTGTTTTGATTACCTTCCCTGAGAGCCATGACTTCCCGGCATGTCCAGGCAAGAGCCTGGTGTAACACCGCTCAATCCAGGGCGCTAGTACCCAGTACTGGGCAGCGGCGTCTCCGAACCTTCCCAGACTCCATAGACTCTCAGAGTCCTCTGAGGCTGGGCTCACTGACTCACTGGGGTCGCTTGCGCTTTGTACGGCGCAACGTCCCAAGTGATTCAAGAGTCGACGGGGCCAGGGGGGGCTGAATCACTGCTAGCCAAATTTCCACAGCAACGCTGTGAATAATAATAATGATAATAATCATCATCATCATACTATATATGTATGTATGTATGTATGTATGTATGTATGTATATACACATATATACATATATATATATATATTATGTACATATGTATATATATATATACGTATTTATACATATACATACATACATACATACATACATACATACATACATACATACATACATACATACATACATACATACATACATATGTATACCTAATATGTGACATGAGCACAGTTCTCTGCTCCCCACATCGCTCACCATGCTTACGAGCCCGCGTCCACCCGAGCAAGACTTGGGCGTTCTGGTAAGCTTTGGAGCCTGGCCTTCAGATTAACGCCGGGGGGGGGGGGGGGTTAGGGTTTTAGGTCTTAGGGTTTAGGGAGTTTAGGGAGTTTAGGGGGTTCATGACTACTAGGAAGTCTAAGAGAGCTAAGAGAGGCGTGCAGCCGTGCGACTCGCAACTGTTGAAAAAATCGGCTTCCGGAGCTTCAGCAGTAGCTACACTCTCCATGTCCACTACTTCGTCAACAGTTGCACGGACCGCAGGATGAGCACGCTCAATAACATAAAGAATCTGAGTTGCACTTGATTTCTGTGTGCTAATGTCGATGCACTTGGTACACTCGCGATACATCACATGAGCCGGGAAAAGACGACCTTCACTAGAGGGCGTCCGGCCCTAGGGCATCCTCTGTTTCGAAGACGCCCTATCTTTTGACATACCACGAGGGTCCTTGGATCCTTGCCGATCGTGTCGGTGCCTCTTCTGCAGCTTGGCGCGATGCAGGTTGGCAGCACTCTCAACATCTGGCAGACAACTTCTCAACCTTGGGCTTCGGCTTTACGCACGTCACCAAAGGAGCACATCGCCCCAAACAAATTGACAAATTGCAGTTGCCAGCTCTCTGCGATGCCAAATGCTTGACACCTGCTGACCAGTCACACCTCGGTCAGCCACTGTCGTGCTTTTGTTCCTGGCAGTTGCTGAGAGAAGACTTGAGAAGTTGAATCCGCTTACTGGACCGTGGTGGCCCGGTCTCCTGAGGGATCAAGGAAAGGATCTTCACGATATGCCATCCTCAGCGGAACTGTGGCCTTCTAGTGTGATCGAGCACGGCTGTCATGGCATGCAGGAGATGCAGAAGGCAGCCAAATACAATGAGGCAAGACGCATTCGGTCGCGATTCCAAAGCTCGATCCCGCGCCCGACCTGTAAGCGAAGCAGCTTTTTACGCTGGAGTGAGCATACCGTGTTATCCCAACTGCTTCGGAGCAAAGAAGCTGCGTGCCTGTGCAACTTCGATAAGCCTCGATCCTGCGTCGTCTTTTACTACATGCTCCTGTGGCTAAGGTCCGGGCTTTGGCAACGACCCGCGAGCAGGTGCCCTTGATGCCTGAGATTTGAGTTGGCCATGCAACTAGTCGTAAGACGCCTCCAGCATCTCCAACTGAATTTCGCTGTGAGGACGACAGATCTGTTCCTCCAAGTCCTGAGTCCGGCACGATCATCAGTTTTGAACTCCCATTCCACCTGGTTGTCGGTGAAGACCTGCCGAGCTCTGAGTCCAGTTAAGGTCTTATAGCATTGAAATCCTTCTCGACTTCAAAGAAGGAGCCCATGCCTGCGACATGATGATCCTCATCCGCTCTGCCATGTAGGCATAGTCCTTCCCGACCCAGAACTGTAGCACCTAAGCTGAAGGCGGAAATGAAAGAACGTAATCACGTGCACTCAACCCAAAATCCCAACCTCTTGATCTGCCTTTTTTCTAAAGCCGTCAGGTCGCCACAGGTTTTCCTGGCCGCGTCTCCATCAGCGGCTTGCTGGGTGCCACGTAGTTGCCGGCAAGCTTCAGGTAGTCTGGCGCATGGCTTGGGAAGGCAAAGCTGGGGCTTCTGCAGTGCCCGGACAACTGTGTCGCATGCCCAGTTAGACTTCACAAGCACCACCATGATCCATGTGATTTTAGGCTGCAACACAGCCAGCAGAGGACCCGCACCCACGCCACCCGCACCTACCAAGATTGGAACAGCGACTCAAACCGCAAGCCGGCCTTGCTGATCTGTGTGTCCTGCACAGCACAAGACTCGCTATTGGATCTTGTAAGCTGCCTGTAAGATTCCGTACGCACCTCTATACAAGTCCAAATGCAGAAGCTCGATAAAGCAGCGCTGATTCACCAAAACTGATGCCTCTCTGCTCAAGCAACTTCAGCTCGCGACTTGGATGGACCTGGCCCCAAGGTCAGGGACTTTTGTCATCAGTCAGCTTTGTGTGTCGAATGTGTTTGTTCAGCCAGCTGGGCTGAGTAGTGTAGGGTTTCTGGCGGCTGCAGCTTTAAGTTTAGTCTGGTTGCTGAGGTTCGGGGTACGGCCTGTGCATAAGACGGAATTATTCAGACACGAAGCCCAGTTGAGGAACTCGTCATACGTGATGTCACCAGAAGCATCAACATCAATGAAATCCTCGGCAGAGTCAAGGCATGTCAAGGCCCAAAACAGCCCGCAGAAAAGCTGCACATACATATACATACACATATACATATACATGTACATGTACATGTACATGTACATGTACATGTACATATACATATACATATACATATATATATATATGTACATATATATATATATATATATATGTACATATACATATACATATACATATACATATACATATACATATACATATACATATATACATATATACATATACATATATACATATATACATATATACATATATACATATATACATATATACATATATACATATACATATACATATGCATATACATATACTTATACATATACATATACACATAGATATACATAAACATATATATGTACATATACATATACATATACATATACATATACATATACATACACACATATACATACACATATACACATAGATACACATATACATATACATATACATATACATATACGTATACATGCACGTATACATGTTACACATATGTATGAACAACGGCTCTCAGACAAGTAGCATGCAAGTCATCACCTCAGCTTGTCCATGTAGAATCCGAGCTAAGCAGAGAGGCATTTAAGTCTTGGCTGATGCAGATGCCACCACGGCTCGTCTGGGTATTGCTAAGCAGTCGATTGACAGCGCAGGCCATTTCACAAGTGTTAGACGGTTGTTTTGAGGCTTTGCTTAATGCATCTTTTTGCGCTTTCCTGTCGTAGAAGTCTAGCAGGTGCTGAAATGCGAGCTGGAAGCATCTTGACAGGCACTGCTGCCTTTGACACTGTTCAATAATGGACATGCAAACAGCTTCGGCGTCTTCGCCATGCTCATCTCGTCTCGTGTAGACACGTGGGCGGCACACAACACGCTGTCAGTGACCATCGCAACGGGAGGTCGGCAGGGAAGCGTCAGAGCGTTGAAGCACGGAGCTTTTCGAATCATGCCATGCACACACAAGGAGGGAGTGCGTCAAAACTCAAACGTCCATTTTTTTCAGAGGGTTTAAGAGCTCTACGGTCTGACAACTCCTAAAGGGGGCGTGTGCAAACTGCCGTCGGAATCCGCAAGCAGTCTCTGGAATTCTTTCGAGAAATAAGGCGAATCTTGGTGTAATTTCGGGCTTTAAGTCCGGGGCTGCGAGTCCGAGACGGAGGTTGACAACTGATTTGGCCCGGACACTGGCTGCTCGAGGGATTCCTGCGACGG